GTAAGTCAACTATATCCTTTAAGTATTGCGTCCCGTGTTCGTCTATTTCCTCTTGTCTACAAATAGGGCTTGGAAGACTGCCATCTGATAGAATCTATCGGTCTTTGCGGTCAGTCTAGGAGAAGCTCACCAGGAAATTGAGAGTGAGACTTCAACAGCTCCTTCCAAACGCGACCTCCACGGCATTCCTACGTAGAAGGCATCCGAGCAACCCTTTTTTTCCTTTGCCAATACGGTGCAGTCTGTGCGCAAGCGACGCGTTCTTCACAGTTGGGTCAAACGAATTATTTTAATTTGCCAACCGCCCTCCTATACTACTTATTTGGCTTTGTCAGCCACTGCGTCCTATCTTGTCTCAAATGATTCCGACTCAGTCTTGCAAGAAGTGGGTACGGCATATGCTGCACAAATTATCGTCTAGAAAGGTTATGCTGTGAGGCACAGGGTGGGTATTTTGGTTTGCGGTGGTAGAGCTTAGATCTCTTTAACTTTTCCTGACGGTGGCTCCGATTGAGTATCCGAAACAACAAGCAAGCAGGCGTCTTGTTGCCACGATTACCCCTTAGAAGAAGCCAAAATTTTAGGATAGTTTGTTAGCTGCTCTCAAATCTCCTGCCTGATCCTTTTAGGCAACTCCGGAACCCCAGCCTGAAATCAAGGAAAAGAGTCATGGAAATATTTTCCAAAGACTGGTCTCCTGGTTCGTGCGCCAGTTTTCCTGGCTGCGACCAAGATAGGTTCTGAGGTTTTGGTTCAGGGTTTGTATTTTGCTGGAGTGTGGGCTTTGCTACTCCCTCGTACACACACATATACATAGGCTTCTGTTTGTATACCGAAGTCACTCCCGTTGCTCCCCCAGGAGAGGTCATTTTTGCTGAAGGTGTGGGCTTACAGTCAGTGACGCATGTGCCCGGCGCAGGGGTGTAAAAAGAGCCAATCAGAATGCTACAGCAGATTTGAGGGAACTTTATGTCTCCTACTTTTTCTACTTTTTACAACGTGCCCGTGAGATTTTGTAAATACAACTATTACCAACATGAAGGTAGTTGCTCTTCTTTAGGTGGTTCTGGTTACTTGGGAGGAGGAAAGACAAATTCTTGCGGCATCCAATTGTTTCACGTGGATGATTTCGGAATGACGATATCTCTGCCTTTCCTTTGGGGGGTAATATTCTGCTCGGTTCGGCTTTCTTGTATGGCCGCCTAATGGCGAAAGCTCCCCCGTCCAAGTTCCTTACGGAAACCGTGGTTAAAGGTTTAACGCTTGAATAAGGCGTATTTACTGCGTGTTTAATGCGTGATAAGTGGACAGTAGGAAATTAATTAAAGACGCTTGTAATTGTTTTACTGAACTACAAATATATATGTATAAAGTATGTGTCGCGAACACAAAATCGAATAGTGTATACTCCTATTGGTCCGCAAGTGATGCCTATAGACCAATAACAATATTAGAACAATTCCTATAGGTTAACATAATCAAAGAAGTGTTTTTATATGCGGAACTTCGACCTATTTGAAATGTGGAAGTAGTTTTCTATTATTAATCAAGCGACCTCACTAGACAGCGCTAACTTCTGCTCCAACATTTCAAATGCATACCGATGCTTGCGCGCCTCCTGGTGTATCAGACGACGTCCTGGTTTCAGTCGTAATGTATCATTCCATGATGAACGGGTTGAGCGACCATTTGTTGTCCATATGCTTGCACATATTTCGGCGTCCTCGAAGCGTTTTCTCTGGAAAAACACTTGTTAAGAAAGGGTCAACGATAGTTGTGCCAATAGGCGCTGACATCCCCAGGGGAGGTTAATCACCTTCCCTTTGGCTTCGTTCGTGTGCCGACTGTTTAGTCTAATGAGACTTCTTACTAACCACTTAATGGATAGAAAAATAGAATTGTCACCTTTGAGCAATCCCTATGCAGATAGTTCCCGCGTTTTCTGGCGTACGAAACTGCCAACAGTAATATGGCCATTACTGTAGCTAATTGGCAGACCGGAAGACTAGTGTCTCCAAAACTGCGGAAGATAACCCACCTAGTTTTGGAATACCGTAAGAATCACGCTTAGTTTACGGCGGTTGCCGTCATTCATAGTAGAACCAATCCCCATACAATTTAGGCTTTCCGTATTCTGCTCTCTATATATACCAGCTAAAAAGGTAATGCTCACATGGGCTGCCGACTATTGAAAATACAGAATTCTTGTTTATCTGCAACTCAAACATCGAACTGCTCGAAAGTAGCCAGCACAAACGCACCTTTGCTATTTTCTTACACTTTTGTATAGCACCCAAAAGAGTGGGCATGAGCAAAGGCATTGTAGCCTTTCCAAGAGCAAAATTCACATAGTTACTACCTGCATCAGGTGCTGTAGCTCAGTTAAATTCTGGCCTCCATCACGGCAACAGAATGTCTAGATTTTGCGAACTGAAGCGCTCTGTTAAACTCCGCCGCCTTCATGAATCGATTTCTGTCTTAGATGTTCCTTCAAAATTCATTATGGACTCAAATTACCCGACGTGGTTTGTCTATGTTGACCCGAACTTTACAGATTCAATTGAGCCGTTGCCTTACAACCATGGATCCCAGCGAATTTTACCTTCTTTATTCGATCTTCCAAATCGTAAACTACCACGTCCTTTCCCCCTCTCTCCCTCCTTCCCTTAATTTCCCTTTTCTGATCGTAAACTTTTCCACATTCCCCTAAAGTGGCGATGAACCTTAGTAGCAAGAGTCTGCCACTGCAAAAAAGGTAAGTGAAAGCAGCTGGGTTTTGACGGAGTGCGGGCTCCCTGATTTGCCGTTGTCTGGTATGGTGCGTGTCTCATGACTGGTAGCTGGCTCGTTTTAGATCTTGCTTTGTCAACCCTCTTTAACGATTTCCGCTAATCCCTTCTTCAGCCTATGGTCACCAGGCTTGTTACAGTAAAATCGACGTAGGTGGCCATCTGTTTTTTTTAAGATTTGGCTGTCGACTCCTGGAGCGTGAAAGACGACAGCCAGAAAACTTGACATTCTACGATTAGCGCAGACCGGTGCCTTCACGAAATCTAACTGAGCGTTCTAATCATTCGATCTAACCCTTTTCTGTCTACTGTTTTCGAGAATGTTTAGTACATGCCTATCGCTGAATAGCGAGGCGACTTAATCAAAGTCAGATCTATGTACTCAGGAGGGAAAATGTATCGATGGTGTGGGTTTAGCACTTGTTGTCTGCATTTGATAAAAAAAGTATCTACTTAATTGATTTAATTACAATCTCGTGTCTACATAGACGGCACTGTGGCTCGATTTACAGACTGGGCATTGTCAGAAAGCGTTTTTTGCTAAATGGATTCTAAACATCGAATTTCCGAAGTTATGTCGGTGGTGGTACCCCTACGCCACCGAAGTGACGTCTACTACCTGCGGAAACTAAAAAACTTCCGGATTCCAACGACTGTTCTCCTAGGATTTCACTACAAATTTCTTAACTGCAAAAAATGGGCAGATGCATCATGTAGATGGTCGAAAATATTTGTTAGGAGACAATTTGACGGATTTGTGTTTCGCGCCGTTTACCACTTAACATTTTCAACCAGTGGGATATTTGTGTACTTCCTATATGCTGCTAAACAATCTCGCAGAATACGTCAAGTTTCTTTCCGGCCAAATTTGCGTAAAAAGTCCGCCTAACATACCTTGATCTCTGCACATGGCCCGCAGATCCCGTTCAGTTAAATGGAATAGCCCTATTAGATACCTTGATTCCATAAGGAGCTAGCATATCATTTGCAACTAAGCACTGCTCGTTCTCTAAGCCTCTCTATACGCTACTTTTGAAATAGTCTTTCAGATAGAGTATATCAATAAAGGGTCTTCAACGCCACAAATATGGTTGACTTTAACCCATTACCTCCAATAATTTTAACCACTTCGATTTTTGTTATGAAACTTGGATACCTATGGTTTTTCAAACTTGTATATAAATTAATTTAGAGCGAATTTTTTTAAAAATCTCATGTGGATATCGGAGAAATATACCCAATATGTATAGCATGAAGGTTAAATATGCGTATATACAGACAGATAATTACGAAAGCTCTTAATTTTTAAGTGATCTCATATGAGATCACCGAGAGGGAATGGTTAATAAAACGGATATCAATGAAGATTTCACCATATTTCAGAAGTAGCCTTAATGGAAGAGGTTATTACGTTTCTTCGAAAAGTTCACTGTGGAAACGTTTGCCGAAAGTTGCAGAGAGATACAAGTAAAATTGTTTATTGAAAGACGTGGATGAACTCTAACGTTTGCATCATCCTTTTGAATAATTTTTTTGTACGATACCTGCCATGACTTCAGCCGAAGACCCAATAAAGTAAAAAAAATATTGAAAAGGGCCAGTGGACGGGGTTTATTCAGTATAGAATCTCTAACTGCCCTCGATAAAATCAGGGCTGACAATGTTAAGATATGTCTAAAGAAAGGAGCTGTGGTCGGCTGTTTTTCCGAATTTGTACTCGCTTCTAGTTGTCACTGTCTGCAGGATGGATATCTTTGAGACACTGATCGCTGACGGGTGTCCACGATGAATATATCAAGCTCAAGATCTGCTTTGCTAGCGTGGGTGGTGAAGAAATAACAAAGGTAGGCGATGACAGTTGAGCACCAGTGTGCTCAAAGCTAAGGTAGTCCTGTCGGACTCCGATTCAGGTCGCGGAATAGGAAGACCACGCTACAAAAATATAAGTAAGCCCATCAAGTAGGTTGAACAGGAGGAAGCGTGAGATTCGGTAACTGTGGTTGTTGAGTTTGGCCGATTAATTTTGTAACTCTGCGGAGGAATATTATTCTCCTTATTCGAGGACAATTGCGAAAGCAGCTACCTCAAAATGGTATTTCGATACATTAATTGGACGGTTACTGTAAATAGTAACTACAGCGTGAAATGGAGTGAAAGGAACAATGGAGCTCAAATGGAGAGGCCAGTCGTTCTAACAAATCCTTTTATAGACGCGCAAACATTCAACCATCCTAGCTTCTAATACAACTAATAGTAGCGCGTTTGTGGAACCCCTCCTTGAAGGTATGTATTGCACATTACGCAGCCCAATACAACAGTAGCAAATGAACTTTTATATTTCCGTACAAGGCCACGAAAATTTGGCAGTGGTGTCAAATTATCAAACTTTTGGAACATATCTTCTCATTGTTAGTTGTGACAATTGTACTTATGAAAAAGTGGACATCTTATTGTTGACTGGAGGTTTAATATGTTGTCACCCTATCCCCCTTATATTATTTCACTCGCCTGAGGATGAATAATCAACGCCGTCCGTTCGCAGAAATTGACTTCTTAAATGCTTACCTGCGTATCATCGCTGATATTCCTAAACTTTGGTGACCATCTGTATTTGCTGATATCCCTGCATCTTCTTATACTAACCGGGTATTGCACACCCATAACATCAACCAAAACAATTCATTTCTTATTCTGCAAGAGTTCCTTTTTTCCATTCATCTGCTAATCCATGAATACGCTGGTTTAATCAAGCTCAAACAGGCTCTAACCATTGAGCTGCGAGCTTGTTGTCTTGCCAGTTCAGGTCGGGAGGTATTGACACTCGTTGATGAACGTCCAGTGACCGCTAACAAAACTCACTTGTCCCGTTTTGCATTGAGTCTCATTTCCTGGACCAAGACAACAGCCATAGCGGCTAGTCGTCTAGGGGTTGGGTATGACTGGCGGACGACGGCTTATTAGCCAGAAATGACCATTCCAGTCTCCCTTGTCTTTCCCGGTAATGCATTTCGCCTAAGACAACTGGCCGCTATGACTTCTGTCAGGGTCCGAGAAATGAGGCCCAAGGCAGGGGAGGACAAGTGAGTTCCGTTAGCTGTCGGTGAACTTTCATCGAGGAGACTGAAAATTTTTTACCCCACTCTCTTCCTTATCACCACGCTTTACAGGCTCAGCATCACGAACTCAGATATAATTTATGATTTCCGGTAGAAAAAGTCCTTTGGGCAATGACAATTTATTGTTTCGTACAACTCTTATATATCTGAAGAGGACCTAGTGAGTCGGTGTCGAAACTTCGAATAACAAACTTTCGTTTCCAAAAGGCTTCTTTTGCCGATGCCGATTTTCCTGTTCGCTGATGATTTTCTACAACGGTCTAGGTGAACTCCTTTTTTGCTGGCAAATGGTTTTGCAATCTTCCCACTCTCCTTTTCGGCGACGGCAATTTCTGCTAAAAGAAATCTGACCGTTTTCTGCTTCTGTTATCCACATCCAGACCAGAAAGCATGTGCCGGCAGCGTGCACATGGAGGTTGCAGCCTGCGTACAGTCGTTTTGCGACAGGCTTCAAGTCGTCCTCTTTGTCGTCTCTGACAGACGGTCAGACTGCATACTGCGTTGCCCACAATCCTTCTACCAGAGCAGGACGGGAGTAATAGTGGTTTGCAGATTCTGGCGTCCCTCGACTAGGGATATACGAATGGTGGCTTCTAACCTCGACCTCTTTCCCTGACCTTCTTTTTCTTTCTATATTAGCTGGAGTTCTTCTCCAATGCCAACTGTGAGGTGCAATTCGGGGAGGAGGGAGTGCTGTTTGTGAATCGCCATGACGGCAGAGCCACCGGCGACGCCTTCGCTCTCTTTGCCAACGATCGAGAGGCACAAAAGGCCCTAAAGAACCACCGTCAACACATCGGAAACAGGTATATCGAGCTGTTTCGATCGACACCGGCAGAAGTCAATCAGGTAAGCCTCTGATTTCCAATATCTATTCCCGCCTACTACTATAGTTAACGAAGTTGAACGTCTCTCATAATAACAGTTCAAAAGGCTTGCTTTTACTACCGTCGAACTATTGCGGATACACATCTCGCGTCAGCCGCCTTCTATGTAAGACAAATGGATATATGTGTGCATGTTACATATATATATATATATATATATATATATATACATATGACAATGATAGTATACCGTACTTCCGCATAGATACTAGCTAAAAGCC